TAAGAAGGGTGGATAAAGTAAAATACGTAAGAAAGGTCATGGACAATCAAAATACCCCTGCTAGCTGTGCCAAATTGCTGGTACAGATTATCCATATTTACAATCTGCTGGGAATTACATTAATTTTAATAGCACTGCTTAATGCTTCTACAGATTTCCCAAAGCAGTTGGGGTAAGTTCCTTTACTGTCGTTCATTGCTCCTGAGACGTAATTTTAACTTGAATTAAAGGGTTCAACATACAGGTAAAGGAGAGTTGTCTTTTGAGCTTGCTGGTACCACTATTCCCTTAAGGTTGTTAATTCCATGAGGATTGTGTGGCATCTTCCCCAGATTTAGAGACCCAACTTTCTGGTTGTTGCTCATCTGAATGGAGGTAGTGCATTTCTTCCTGAAAGTAAGATTGAAATGGAATCCATAGCAGACTTGTGGGGAGTTGATATACGTATGTATACATAATCTCCTACAATGGGAATATCTGATTGCCTCAGTGCATGCTGAACGCGCTTCCATCTTAGAGCCCACCAATATCGAAGGAATGTTCATGAGACATCTTTGTATGGCATTCTCAGAATGAACAAAACTTAAATTCTTATCTCTATTTAAATAACAGGAGTTTTTGTACCGCTGCCTTATTACAGTGTGTTTGGGCTCAGGATACTAATCCTGCTGCCAAAATGTTGTCAGACTGGAGTCCTGGAGGAACCCATTACAATGGTGTCTATGTAGATGTATGCAGATGTAGTTATGAAGTCGAGAACACTATTTCAAGCAGCTTGAAAAGGCTTGAAACAACTATTTTTCTGGAAGCAAGGGAGCTGTTTATCCTTTATCCTTTATCACTGGATATAGCCACTATTGTTGCTAGAATACCCTATTCATGCTGATTGGCAGTAAGGTAATCTTCATTGTCAGTCATCAAAAGGGCTTTGAGGATTGGCCAAAAATAACACGTCTGCTATTAGAGGTTAACTTAAATTGCTACATTTACCCATATCTGACACTTACTAAATAGCGTAGAAGTCAGTTTTAGTTTCTGTCATGGTCTAACCTTTAATAACCTATTTCAATTGACAAATGAAAAGTTAGAGTTCACTGGAGAGACACAAGCTTGGCCGATTTAAAGTGTTTTTGAATCAGGTTAATTTAATTCTCCACAATGAACATAATTCCCATTGTACTTGTTTATGCATTTTTCACATTAAATTGATCTCCAAAAGTATACTTAGGTGCTGTAAAATCCCAACTTGTTCATGGGTGGGACACTTTAAATTGCATACGTTACATATAGGCCATTTAAATTATAAATTCAAGCTATCTGGTTTCCATATCAGCCTCTTAAAGTGGCTCAGTCACTTCGCAGGATTTCATAAAGATATAACCTGTATGAAACCGATATTGACCGTGTTGGAATTTCATTTAAATTCCAGTGCAATCCAAAGACACCATGAGACAAAGTAGGGTCTAGTTTGTCTCATGGTAAAGAAAAAAGACAGAGCTCTGGCATCAACTTTTGTCCAATCCCAGCAGCCATCACAGGTCCCAGCAGCCATCACAGTCTTGCAGGATCATCCATAAATATAACCGTTGTACTTTCATGAGTGTACAGTATGGATGCAGCTCCTGGTTATTAAAGAATATGGCGGTGGCCATTCGGTACAGCTTCAGGTAAGTGAATCCACTTTGAGGGGAGATATGACCTTTGGGGGTATTTGTAAAATATATAAAGTTAAGATAAAAAAATTATCTAAGTCAACTATGCTTCCTCTTTGGCTTATTTGGTCTAACATTTTAAATTCACCGTTATTCACTTTGAATTCTCACTTTAGTGTATAATCCTGATGGACAAACACCAACAAGCAATATTAACAGTTATTTGCTTGGAGGGCTAGACTCCCTTAACAAAAAATTGGACAAAAAGGTAACTATTTTGGTAGATATTTGTTAAATCTGGTATGATCAAATAGATGGTTTGTTAGATCTTTCATAATTACAGAGATATTAGATATTTAGTGAGGGGAGTTAGTCCCACCCCAACCCCCCCAAAAAACACACACACACACACACAAATGTTTCAGGGAAAAAATATATATTCAGTCTGATAGATCTTTCTTAGATCTAACATAATTACAGAGTTATTTAATACATTAATAATATTTGTGTTCGGGGCATTCTCATATGATATAGAATAAGATGGGTTGTAGAGATGTAGCTTTAGGAATAATCGGTTGAGGTGTGCCGAAACCGACGTATGCTGTAGGCCGGTAAAAAGTGGGCTTACATAGAGGAAATATGAACAATGGGAGTGGAGGGTGGGGCTATTCATCTGACCAACAAAGGTAAGTAGGGAAAGGGGGGAGTCCCTTTTATAGGTCTATAGCCCCTCCCACAACTTCAGGCCATGCCTTCCAATTTGTGTTCGGGGCATTCTCATATGATATAGAATAAGATGGGTTGTAGAGATGTAGCTTTAGGAATAATCGGTTGAGGTGTGCCGAAACCGACGTATGCTGTAAGCCGGTAAAAAGTGGGCAAAAAGAGAAATATTAATGCAAAACATTATACAGGATCATAGTGCATTTGTTAACCATCAGTTAGACATTTTAATGAAAGCGTCCTAATTCCTGAATCGGCTGTGGTATGTACATCGCATAAGCCTATGATTCCCAGCGGCCCCGTGTCTTAACGTGTGCGGGGATGTCTTGGCTATGGGCTGTGTAAGCTGCTCCTATCCAAAAGGAGTGCCCTGAGTAGTCGCTAGGGTTTAGTTCGAGCACGATGAATGAGTAGGTGGACATAGTGCATGAACTTACCTGTGGTAAGGACAGTATCGTACAGCGACAGTAATGGTTCAGTGGTGCGTATGGTGGCGTGCCCAAGAACGTAATCAGTACCTTAACCGGGCACCCGGCATTGCTTGTAAGGTAGTAGGTAATATGCACTGGCTGGCCCCTCTGACTCATCTTAGTTTTAGGAAGGGACCGGACATAGTGGTCTGTGTGTTTTAGAGGATAAGAGGTCACCAGGTACTCTTGTTTATGATGTTGGCCGCTGATAGTGAGTTATTGTTTTGGCCTGAGAAAGCCGTTAAAGGCTAGATAGGTAGCAGTTTTGATAACTGCATTGGTGCGTGGCTCGGAAGTGCATGGTCGAGTGGTTCTGTCATGGTTTGAACATTGTATGTCTATGGCCAGTATTTAGTTTTAGCGGGAACGTCCGCTTGGCCATGTCTCTAAGTAAGGTATGTATGGGGTAGGAGGATAGGAAGCCTTGTTGTTTGGGATGGAGAAATACGTATAGGGTTGAATGCCCGTGAGATAAAGTTTAACCGTGTTGTGCGAGAATTATTAACTTAAGGTGGCAAAAAAGAGGCGAAGGACATACGTGGTGAAACCTCAAACCAGCTATCTAAGTGATGGTCCGACATGAAACGTATTGTATAAGTGGAAAACCCTGTAGCAAGCGTGTTGAGTGCTGGTGGACAAGGCCAGTTTAGTCAGAGCCCGGCTATGTTGGCGAGGTTCATGTAATCCATGACCTTGACCATAAATGACCCCCTGCCATGGCGGCTGTCACGGCAGCTGCCACAATAATTTACCATTACGTGTGGTTAAGAAAGTCCACCATATGTGTAGGTCTGCCATGGCTTGGTTGTCTAGGGACAGCCCCTGATCATCATTCGGTAGGGAGAAAAAAGCAAAGTGGTCTGAGATGAAAGCGCGGCCTGCGGTACGATGTGCATGGCAAAATTTAAGGAACCTGGTAGGGATTGTAGTTCCATGTGGTTGCAAGTACCAAGCAGGAGGTGGTAATTGGTGTTGTTGCGACTGTTCCTATTTCTCGCGTGGTAATTTGTTGGTATGGATGCCGAGTCAAGTTGTATGCCCAGGAATGTAACGACAGTGTCTGGGTCTTCTGTGACCTTAGGGAATACTGGGACACCCAAGTGTTCAGACATACTAATGGCTTTCTTGAAGCTTCTAGAGGGAAAGGCATTCCCTTTGACCAACAAGAAATCATCTCGGGAGTGTATGACTGTGGGGCATCTGGATATGTTTAACCACAACCAGTAAAGAGTTCAACGAATATATTGAAGATTGTGGGCTGCTCTTGACCCGAAAGTTAAGCGGGAGAAGAAATATATAACTGCTGCCCATAAATGCCCTGTAAGTGCCAGTGCCGTCTGAAATGCGTTTGTGATATCAGTTTTACTTAACCAGACTTCCCCTCCCTGCTTGAGTGAGTTGTCATGGTATGAACAATGGTGGCATACTGTAATGAAAACTCCTCGGAGAGTATGAGGGAGTTGAGATTATGGGGTAGCCGAGGCGTGAGGTGCAGATAAGTCTATGATCAGTTACAATGGGATTGCGCCACACTGTAAATAGTGTAGATCGGAGAGGCCCAGGTAGAAATATTTCTGCCATTTCTTGGGCCATGAGTGTAATGCCAGCTGTTGGATGCTGCTGTGATGACTGCAAGTTAGGGCATTCTAGATTTCCCCAAAAGTATATGGCAATACCTGAACAGAAGGCCTTTAAAATCGGAGATTAGGAAATAAACTAAATGTCTGGAAGGGTGATAAGTTAGAAAGTACTGGAAATGCATAATGTTTACAGACGAGAAGTAAGGTTCAGGGTACATTTATTGGGACACATGGTTTTTGCATGTGCCCTGACATATTGGGAACATATCTGCAACAGCCTGCATGCACTGAAACTACATGTGCCAACATGGAAATTGTTGCAAATCTGGGATTTGCCAAAGAGAATGAGACGACCCAATTTATCTCGGGTAGTTCGCTACGTCCTACCAGAGGTGCTAGAGCCTGGAGCCTGAAACGTGATCGTCCGCTGTGTTGGGACAAAATTGTCCTGTGGGACTAGCAACATCTCCAAGTGAAAGTGTGTTGACTCTAGCTGGAGTGTTAGGTAGAGAGAAATCCTTACCACCTGCTTGATACATACTAAAAAATATGAAGATAGCCATTATTATATGAACCCACAGTGTGCTAGTACTGGCTTGCTAGCTAATGCCGCAAGGCGAAACAATTAATCCTTTGTTTGGTGACAGGTGAGGCCCTGCTAGTTGCCAAGTGGCTTGAGAGGCTCTATCTATGCAATGGCGCGAGGGGATTTTTGTGGCCACCAAACGTAGTGGCAGGATGTTAGCCTCTCTTTGACTGTAACCATGAAAAAGGGGAAGGGAGTGACAGGTGAGGCCCTCTCTATATACCATGCGAGGCGGCTAGCTCACGAGTGGCCCGATGGGTGTTTGCTTCCGAGCGTTGAGGTGGGGTGTTGGCCTCGCGGGACCACTAGACGACAGGCGTAGATACCAAGAAAGGAAAATACCTATTGGAAACCTATAGTCCCTAATTGCCAGTACGCTAAGGATATACCCAGGGGGAAACAGAAAATGTATGTATATACCACATGAGCAGGTGTATGTACCTGGTAGTATGATTAGATACCCTTACTGGTCGTAAAGGTTATTAATACCTGTATCCCAGACGTGTAAAACAATGTATGAAAATCGAATATAGACATTTAAAAGCGTATATCCATATGTGTGTTATGCAAGTTTAATAGAGCAAAGTGCTCTGTCCCAATGTTTATTGTATGCTTGTAATGCCCCTGTTTGAAGGAAATTAACTTGTCGGGAGTGTTATATCATGTGTGATATGGAACACAACTGTACCCCGAAACATGAGTGTAGTGAACCATGACTGGCAGCTGAATAACCTAATAAGTGAAAATACATAATTGGAAGGACTTATATTTTAAGCGTGCAAATATTCCGTATTAGACTCTGGAAAACTGCATAGTGCTTTAAATAGTATGTGTATTCTTGGGTAAATGTATGCGTATTGTCAGTAAATGTAACTAAATGCCTATGAAGGCAGGTATGCAGGAATGATATCATAGTAAGCATGATTTATAAGGAAGTGTTATTGTGTAATTATAATTATAGTGGGAATGTTATGAGGGGAATAACCATATGTCTGAAAAGCCTGTAGTATACCGTTTGACAGATAGGAGTCAGTATAAAAGTGAAAATGCTGTAGTTAGTTTGTTTGCTTATGAAGTGAAATAAAGTCTGAGAAGCCTGTAGTACACTGAATGACCGGTAAGGGTCAGCATGTAGGCGAAAATGCCGTGGTTCGTTGGTTTGTACATGAAATGGAATAATGTCTGAGAAGCCTGTAGTACACCGAATGACTGGTAGGGGTCAGTGTGTAGGCGCAAATGCAGTGGTTCGTTGGTTTGTACATGAAATGCAATAATGTCTGAGATGCCTGTAGTTACACCAAATGACTGGTAGGGGTCAGTGTCTTGGTGAAAATGCAGTGAAAATGCAGTGGTTTGTACATTAAATGCAAAAAACTTCTAAGAAGCCTATAGTACACCGAATGACCGATAGGGGTCAGTGTCTAGGTGAAAATGCAGTGGTTTGTTGGTTTGAACATGAAATGCAAAAACGTCTAAGAAGCCTGTAGTACACCGAATGACCGATAGGGGTCAGTGTCTAGGTGAAAATGCAGTGGTTCGTTGGTTTGTACATGAAATGCAATAATATCTAAGAAGCCTGTAGTACACCGAATGACCGATAGGGGTCAGTGTGTAGGCGCAAATGCAGTGGTTCGTTGGTTTGTAGATGAAATGCAATAATGTCTGAGATGCCTGTAGTACACCGAATGATCGGTAGGGGTCAGTGTCTAGATGAAAATGCAGTGGTTCGTTGGTTTGTACATGAAATGCAATAATGTCTAAGAAGCCTGTAGTACACCGAATGACCGGTAGGGATCAGTGTGTAGGCGCAAATGCAGTGGTTCGTTGGTTTGTACATGAAATGCAATAGTGTCTGAGATGCCTGTAGTTACACAAAATGACTGGTAGGGGTCAGTGTCTTGGTGAAAATGCAGTGGTTTGTACATGAAATGCAAAAACGTCTAAGAACCTGTAGTACACCGATGACCGATAGGGGTCAGTGTGTAGGCACAAATGCAGTGGTTCGTACATGAAATGCAATAATGTCTGAGATGCATGTAGTACACAGAATGACCGGTAGGGGTCAGTGTCTTGGTGAAAATGCAGTGAAAATGCAGTGGTTTGTACATGAAATGCAAAAACGTCTAAGAAACCTGTAGTACACCGATGACTGATAGGGGTCAGTGTGTAGGCACAAATGCAGTGGTTCGTACATGAAATGCAATAATATCTGAGAAGCCTGTACTACATTGAATGAGGACCGATAGGGGTCAGTGTGTAGGCGAAAAAATTGTATGTCGTTTGTAGTTTTAACCCAACAGATTTTTAACCAAAACAGATTTTAACCAACAGATTTTACATAAACAGCTAGGTGAGTATAAGGTAACGAAATAACCGTGCAAAAAGAAAGGAAACCGTAAAGTGAGGACCCGTGCTGTGTTGAACGCCGTGGGAACTAATCCTGGCGCGACAGGTGGGTCAACTTACGGTTTGAGAGTCCCTGAGACACCAAATGCAATGCTGACCGGAGAGAAAGCCACTGGATTAACGGAAATCCCTGCTGCAGGATTCATGGACACAGCTTGGAGTAAGAGACCTCATGGAGCAAAGGTGAAACCAAAATGGCGTCTTGTATGACCTGGAAGTGGATCTCATGCAAATGCTGACCTTGAACAGTCTATTCGTCTGACCAACAAAGGTAAGTAGGGAGAGGGGGAGTCCCTTTTATAGGTCTATAGCCCCTCCCACAACTTCAGGCCATGCCTTCCAATATATGGCATTTAATTAAATACATATGGAATACCTAATATATTAGTATTTATGAACATATTTCTGTAATTGTGTGAGATATAATGTAGAATCCACTTGATATTATCCGATTTAACAAATTGAATATTTTTTTCTTAAACATTCATGTGGGGGTGGCTAGCCCCACTTCATTTCATTAAATACCTAATATCTCTGTAATTATGAGGAATCTATCAAACAAACTATTTGATCATGCCTGATCTAACAAATATCTTACAAAATAGCTAGCTTTATGTACAAATTTTTGTTAAGGTGGCTCTGACGATTGGTTAGCTCCCAGCAAAAAAAAAATGTAAATATTGCATTTTCTATATTGTATATAATGCAAACAACAATTGATCTAACTTGATCTGCATACATTTTTGTTAAACATTTTGATTTGGGGGGTGCTAATCCGGCTATGGTTGCTTCTTCTAGTCCTTTGGAATGTGGACACTTGTTGTGTGCATTGTGTACCATTCCACACACCATTGTTTCCTCTAAAAAAGCCTTATCCCCTAGAGGGACTTCCGGGTCGTTAGGCAACTGTTAGATGTCTAACTGACGCAGGATGTCCTCACGATATACATGAGGGCATCCAGCATCATGTGAAACCCCAATATGAAAGCATTATAGATGCTTTCTTATGAGGAAGAAATGAATGCAAGTGCAGCCATTGCCGTGCATGCACATTAGTTCTCCCCTGCTGGCTGAAGTCAGCGGGGGAGGAGCGGAGGCAGAGTCCGAACCAGAGCAGAGGGACATGGCCGCTGGATTCAGGTACGTGACAGAAGGGGTGCCAGGGCACCATAGGGAGCAATAGTGCCAGGAAAGCACATTTGTTTCCCTTGCACTATAGTTTCCCTTTAACCATTCAAGACACACTCACAAAACTAATATTTTGGCTCCAAGACCAATACATAACTTTTCCTATTATTTTCTTTCAATCCAGAATTCAAAGGTGAATACTATTCCATTTTCAATTTCAGCTTAAAAAGTATTACAGCTTTCAATATCAATTATGAATGGGTTTGTCTGGGCTTTATTCAATGTTGGCAACCCTGAAAATTTTCATTACAACTCAAGCGTAAAGTGTAACAGAGTAAAAACTATTTTTGGAAAGCAACAATTTTTTTTTCTTCATTGTAACATTAGAAACTAGATTGATAAAAAAAAATTCACTCTACTATGTAGAAATTTTGCATTAACCTTGTTAAATAAAGAAATCAATAATAGCTGTACTATCACTCATATGGATGCTAACAAAAATTCATATAACATAACATTTTTTAAACACATTTTATTGAGCACATATATTTTATAGGCAAGGGAAGGAAGGGGGAGCCAGGCAATACTTAGGAAATTAAACATTTTGTAAAGTTAAAAAAAAATAAAGCAAGCTGTTTGCTGATATAATACTGTATAAATCAGTAATTTATCAAGTAAAACTTAAAGCATGTACAATATGGAGATTTTCAGGGGATTTTTTTAAGTTGCAACTGCTTATTTCTGAAAAAAAAAACTTTACAATGCAAAATTGGCAGCAATTTGGAGTCCTACCAAGTGTGGTCGGTAGGGGCTCTAAAAACTATCTGCTAAGTTACAGCACTAATTATAATATTCAAGGAAGGACACTTAGCGTGGAAGTATATTTCCTTATTGTAATATTGGGGTATTGACTGTCATAGCGTTTTTATTTATTTTAACTTTTTTTATATGGCGGCTGGCAAGCAATATAAATATAACAATATATTTACCTGGACTATGATAATGTCCGACGCATTGGTCTTACACACTATCCAGGGGTATCATTTAGAATTAACCGTTTGGCCCGTGCAGGAAACCCCACCTCTAACGATGTACAACACACACCACGATCTAATCTCTAAAGAGATCAAGGAATTGAGATACAAAAATACTATAGAGGAAATACCTTGGGGTACGCCAGGGTTCATGAGCAACCTCTTTGTAGTCCCAAAGTAGGGTGGGGGTGCCCGACCAGTCATAAATTTGCGACCACTGAATGCCTTCGTCCAATATCAGCATTTCAAGATGGAGGGCATTCACTGCCTCAGAGACCTTTTGCTCTCTGCAGACTGGATGGTCAAACTGGACCTGCACGATGCATATCTGACAATCCCCGTGGCAGAGGGTCACAGAAACCTGCTGCAATTTCGATTGGACGAGAGGAAATGGCGGTTCACATGCCTCCCATTTGACCTATATTCAGCTTCCTGGTGTTTCACAAAAGTGCTAAAACCAGTGGTAACTTTTCTGAAGATACACTGGGTAAGATTAATCATTTACTTAGACAATATTCTTCTGCTGTCACAAACGCAGGAACACCTGAAAGTTCATCTGACATGGACCATTCACCTCCTTCAGAACCTAGGTTTCCTGGTGAACTGGAAAAAGTCGGCTCTCTGACCCTCCCAACACATGG